TAAAGGCTGCGGCCTCGGGTGCATTTAAAAACCCGGCTCTTTCCCCCGGGGTTGGTTGGAGTCACTTGACGGTCCCCGGCGAGGAGTAGATCAGAGCCCTGGCGGCACGGACTTCTCCATTGAAATGGCCACCTCGCCCGCTCCTTTAATTTAAGCTTGTTTGGTGATCAGAAATAAATAAACAAACAAATCAATCCGTGCCTGCGTCATTTGCCAGCATCTCGCAATGCACAGGCTGCGGTCGCTGGAAAAAAAAAAAAAAATATATATATATATATATATATATAGGTTAAATTGAGATCACCAAGCAGCCCTAAATCTTGCGAGAGTAAATCTTGCGCCTGAAAAAATTGAGTGATTTTTTTTTTATTTTTTTTTTAGTTTGAAGGATCTGTTTTTCTCCAGAGTCAGGCCTGGGAAAAGCTTTCAAAGGACGGGACTTTTTTGCTTTGAAAGCAACGCTTTCTTGCAACCTTTGGAAACTTGAGCCTTCCCTCCCTCCCTTCATGAGACTCGTGCTTTTTTTTTCTCTCTCTCTTGATGGAGCTAAAAGTTTGGAGGCGGAATCACCAATATGATTTTTAAAAGAGCGCGGTGGACGATTAAGTTATCTCTCGCTCTCCTTTATTTTTTTTAAGGGGGCCCTTTTAGCAGCCCCAAAGAAATGGTCTCAATAGGCTGTTCCACCTTCCAGACCTAATCCGTAAGAAAGCGAGTGAATGTGCGTCCTATTATCCTATAGCCAGACCATCTGACGCTGGGTATAGGATTTGTTTCCTGGAAGAAAAAAAAAAAAAAAGACGCTGGGAAATAAAATCATTCCTTAGTTTCTTAGTGTCTTAATCAGTGAGGCGGAAAACAAGCAAAAAAAGATAGCAAACCAATTGCGGCACCTTTCAGCTGTAGAGCCGGGATCAAAACATTGTAGCATCGGTTGAAAGAGAAAGTGTCTAAATCCTATAGAAGGCTTTAGTCTTATTGGGGGGGGGGGGGGGGAGAAAAAGATAAGAAACAGTGTCTCAGTGATCCCTAAAACCACTAAATCACTGGAGAATTTCTCCCGGATAGAGATGTCTCTTTTTGTTCTGTCAGCCCTCATGTATCCATTATTTTATTCACTGCTGCATGGCGTTTATCAGATTGAGACCATATTTGTCCCCCTCTGAGACCTAACCTTGCCTTATGCTTTCTGAGTAATGGACTCTTAAAATCCAGTAACATAGCCCTGCAAGGGAAAAAAAAAAAAACATTAGAGCCAGTATGAATATTCCAGAGGAAAGCCATTTTATTAATTTTAATTTGGGGAGGCAAATCCTCGGAGGGCCTCAGCCCCTCCTCCTGCCCCCACTCCTTTGTGACTCGGGGCCAAGCCTCTTGTGCTCCAAGCTGCTTTCGCATGGCCGTGTTTTATTTCGTGCCCCCCTCCCCACCCCTCTCCCTTTTTTTCCATCCCGTCTCATGATATTTTGTTCTAGCTGGCGAAGGTGTCCCTAACCCCCTGACACATTCCTGATCGGGGGGGCCCTGGGCAAGAGGCTCGTCCAGCACAACGCCACCAACACTCATTGTCCAACGAGGACCTTGGGGGGGAGGAGGGGGGCACACTCCCAAATACAAAGAGACAAAGGCGGCCCCAGTGCGCCCATCACCTATTATATAACCCTGGCAGGGCGGGCCACGGCCTCAGGCCCGGGCACGCACACACTAGTGGGCGAGTGGTGCGGGGGGGGCTTCGCCCCATCCAAGCGGGACGTGGCTGCGGGAAGGGCAGGGCTGCCAGGGCCGGGGGTGGCGGGGCCCTGGGCGGTGTCCCCTGACACGCACCTCCCGCAGCAAAGGGGGAGAAGGGGAGGGGAGGGGAGGCAAAGGGAAGGGGGGCTCGGATCCCGCCTTGATGCCTACATGTAACACGTTCCTAGAGGGAAAGAAAGTGCCTGAATCCTTCTGAATCCTATTGACGAAAATGACACTCATCTGAGTCGCTACAATGCGGGCTCTAAGCAGCCTGTAATTTGATTTAAGAAAGAGAAGAGGGGGGCGGGGGGAGAAAGAGAGAGAGAGAGAAGGAGCCTTGAAAAGTGGAGTTAAACTCCAAACCATTTCCCTTCCAGGCAAGCAGCCGAGGGGGCCGCGCCCCGGCAGGTGCCCCCGCACGGCGAGACGCGGGGCGCCGCCGCGGGG